CTGAGCTGGTGGTTTCTCCCCTGGGAGCTGTTTGCAATGAGGCTGCTGACACTGCAGGCAGCTTTCCCCATGTGCTCAGTCCAAGGTCTGCACAGCACCACGGTGCCAAATGCAGACCCAAACCTCGCTGGCATCCTGTGTGGCATCTCCCTTTGGAACTGGCAGCACCTCCTTCCACCCTCTGAACAGCTCAGGCCCCTGGGGATATAGTCTTAACTTACCTATATTAACATTTTAAACACACAGACCACATATTAGAGCTGTTGGTGCTGTTTTGCTGTGCTGCAGTGATGCTGCTCCAAGAGAGCCAAGCTGCCTCCCAGGGCTGCAACACGAGGACAAGCTGCAGCTCACTCCCAGCTCTTCCACATGCTCAAGCTCATCTTTCTCACTTACAGAAAACCCTTAATGCTGCCATAAAATGGTACTTTGCATATTTTTTGTTTTTAACTCAATGACCTCTTTGCTCTTTATTTTCTATAATCCCACATGTGCAGAACCAGATGTGACTTTTTGGGTTTAAGACTGCTTTTATTTTATACGGAGACAAACAGTAGTAAGAAAATAACAAAATTAATGTCTGCCTGAAAGAGCACAGTGCGAGTATCATCCTGGGCTCCAAAATATTTTCCAAACCAAAAGGCTGATAAATTTTTAAGACATCTCTATATTGTGAGACGCTGAGAGACTTGAGGCAGTAAATGCCTGATAAAACCACGTGGAATAGCCTAGTGCAGAGCAACTTACAGCTCAGGCCTGGGTGCAGTGACATTACCTGGGTGTAAAGCAGCAGGGACATCTTGCTGGTTTTGTCCTGGCACACATGGAAGCCTGTACACATCCAGCACAGGGGCTGCCACCTTCTTGTGAAGAAAAATGTTCACTTTTCCTGGTAAATTCTAAAAGGTTTAATAAAAAAGACAATAGGAGACAAAGACAATAAAATGGCCAGGTGCTTGGCACTCTGCCAAGAGCACACCTGCTGTTTTGGACACATCCTTTATATACCATTTCAATTGCATCAGCCTGCTGCATAGTCATAAACAATTATGCATTTTTAAACTTTTCCAATAACTGTTTTGCATGGCCACTCCCCTTTTTAGAGCACGTGTCTATCTTCACTATCGCCTTCAGTCTGGGCCTTGGTCCATTCTCCCCACAGATGCTGGGTGTCAATAACTGGCCTGTCATCAGTGGGGTCCTCATCATATGTTCACTGGCTGTTATCTCAGACAGGCAGACAGTTCAAGTATAATATATATAACTCATCATAACTAATCATAACTATCAGCCGTTCCACTACTATGCCTAAATTTAGTTAAAATAAAAACTACAGCAAAACCACTTTAACAATATATATATATACAGAACATTCATTTCAATATTTTGCAAAAAGCCAATCTTATAGCATATAATTTTTATATTTAATATTTATAACATCCTCCCAGCTGCAGAGGCGGTGCAGACCGGTCTGTAGGTGTGTAAAACACGCTGGCTGCACAGGAAAGTGGAAGTCCCGGTGAAAGCACAGACAGGACGCATTAAAAAACCCCAAGTCAGGGCAGGCTCCGGGCTCTAGGAGTCCACGACGATCATGCTGAGGTTGTTGCTGAAGATGACCCTGCCGTCCCTGGTGCTGCTGCACTCGGGCTGGCGCAGAGCCTCCCGCAGCCGCCGCCGCAGCGCCGGCGGGGCCGTGCCCTGGAAGTTTTTTGTGCCCGTCAGGAAATCCAGCATGCGGCCGCCCACCGCGTCCCCCTCGCTGAAGCACTCGGTGATGTCCCAGCCCGACGGGAGCTCGTAGACGCGGTGCTGCACGCCCAGCCGCCGCAGCACCTCGGTGATGCCGCCGCAGGTGATGTAGTGGCCGCTGTCGGTGGCGGGCAGGCAGTCCCGGTGCCGCTTCCACAGGCTGGCCCATCCGCTGCTGTCTGCCGGGACACCAGCTAATCAGCTATGGAACGAGCTGGGAAAGCTCCCTGACCCTGACAGGGCCGGGAGGAGAGCTTTCCCATCACTCGAGAGTAATTTTAAATATCCGTGCCTCATAAAACCCCGGTGTCCCTCAGCCCTCCCTCCCAAAGTGTCCTGTTCAAAGGAAACTCCCGGGAGATGTCTCCAACACCGCGTTTGCCCAGAAGAAGGGAACACACACAGGTTCCAATGTGCTGAGCCTGAACATCTGCGCTACCTCCTAACTGTCCCTTGGCCAAAACCAAGATGTTTTCACCCATCAGACCTCGATTATAAGTGCTCATTGAGCAACACATACCTCAAAGCAGCCCCAAACAGCAGGGGAAACAACCTACAGGCAATGTGAGAGGCAGTTTCAATGGGGAACATGGGAATTTGTGCTTTGTCCACCACACCCTGAGCTGGGGATTCATGAATGGCACAAGGGATGAAACACTATTCTTTTGAGAAGTGCCATCATGTTCTGCCTCTTTTTTCCTGTCCTGCCATAAAGCCTGTGGCTCTTGGCAGCAGCTGCTGCCCTTCTGGGGTCTGGGTCATTGCTGTACAAAGGTACGAGTCCACCCAGAGTTCAGGTTGTGTTTTTACAGTGCTGATTTCACCATGAGGAAGGGCTGACCCTCATTCATGGACAGCCACACTTCTCTCTACTACATCAATTCCATAAGCAGGGAAGCAAGAGCACAAAGGCTGTGCCTAAGTGGCCCCATCAGACACTGGGGCCCAAGGCTGAGCCCAAGATTGAATTCTCCGTATGAAATCCAGCATTTTTTTTAGTTATTTACTATAGAATAAGCACCACTGACATCCCCAGGTAAATATTTGTGGCTCTCACAAAACTTCAGCAATGGAACAAAAAAATACAAGGTCTCCCTTACCTGATAAAATTATAATCAGGAGTTTACCGTGATGGTCGAGGCAGCTGTGGAAAAACTTGATAGTATTTGGAATATCCTCTACACGGTACAGCATCTAGAAGAGACAGTGACACACAGCCATTATTCCCCTTCCACAGTGCAATCACCCTCCAAAGGCTTAAACCCTTTCTTTTAGAGGTGTTTTAAGTTCTGTTCCAGATGCTTCCCAGCCTTTCCTGATTCCACATGCCCATTTAGGGACACCTCACAGCACTGAGCATTGCCAGCTTCGGTGTTTAGAGCTTCTGCAGAATTGCTATGGGAGAGCTGTGCTCAGCTCTGGTCCTAAATTCAAGCATACAGCAGAACTGAAGAGGTAGTAAAATCCAATAGTCCTGTGTTAAAGCAATGTCCATTACCTGGATCATATGGATGAAGTCAAATTTCTTATGTGTGCCTTTCTCCTTCACTTGCTGTTCATACTCCAAGGAAGTGAGCTGGTGCCAAATAAAAGAAACATTCTGCAGGTCTGGAGCTTGATTCACCAGCTCTGTTTCAAAGAGTAGAATAAAACCATGAATTTCATAAAGTAGCAGAAAAACTCATCATTCCAATGGATGCTCCTTGTTGTAACCCAGGCAGCAGGTGTAGCCTTACCTTTGTAAGCTGCCACGTGCTGTGGGTTGGGCTCCACAATCTCATTGTCAATAGAGACCCCTGGGTGCACAGCCTGCAGTATCCTGATCATTTTCAAATCCTGCTCACCTATTTAATAAACACAGATTCACAGAACACAGGTAAATGCCATGGAAGGATGCCAGCACACCTGCCACTGCTCCTGCCAGGACATCCCAAAGCAGAAGTGAGGCATGTCCTGCTTTGTGGCTCATGCAGTGGCACAGCCTGGTGACACTCTGACCGTGGTGTCGTGCTGCTCAAGCTAACACTGAGGTACAGAGAAGCCTGAGAGCAAGGCAGAGACAAGCAGCAGCACAGAAACTGGCTCATGGCAATACCCTGGGTCGTGGGACAGAAGGGTCAAAAGAACCACAGCTCACTGTTTACAAAAATAACCATGAAACATCAGTTTTCAACAACCCCACAAAGTTTTAATGAGTGCTTGAAGGCAGCTGTGTAACTCCCAGCACACGTGGGGTGGCCCCTGGCTTTGGGGCAGCCACAGGGACACAGTGGCTGCTGTGACACAGCCCCAAGACCTGGAGAGCTGCATCACAAGAGAAAAGACCCGCTGACATGCAGTGTCCTGAATGTATTCCCACTTTGGGGATTGTCCACATGGTCTCAGCCCAGGGCATCAAATAACTGATGCTTATCTTGGAAATACAGGTACAGACTCATATTTGTGTGGAAGTGCCCTGCAAATTTAGCTGTTGGTGCTCCTGTGCAAGCTCTGGAGGAGCAAGCAGCAGTCTGTCCTCCTGTTCTGGGAAATTTCCAGCCTCTTCTGAGGTGATACAGGTCATGCTGCTTATTTCCCAGAAATACCATGATATGCCAAGTGTATGAGTCCCCCTGGTTCACTTGAAACTATGTAAATAAACAGCAGATGTGACCACCTTGATGGGACCTCTGCAAGAATCCTGTCTGTAGCTGATGGTCGGGCCTAAAAATAGTCCTGGCCTTGCAAATGTCACACAGAGAGGTCTTGATACAAGATCCTGCATCCTCCCTGCTCTTTCAGCTGATGGACCGGCCACGGGAAGAGCCCTCATCTTTGGCAGGTGCTGCAGTAAATAGAATTCACAGAGGGAAATATCAGCCATGCCAGCACTACAGGGACATCCAAGGAAGGATGAGTCTTTTGAAATTAGAGAAAAAACACCCCAGGCCTGTGAGGAATGCAGTGGCAGCAGGGCAGGGCTGGCCAGAGGCTCCAGGGAAGAGGCTGCGGCTGCATCCATGGGAGGCAAGTGCAGGCACCAATGTTGCTGACAGGAAGGAAGATCCAACTAGCAAGCAGCTGAATAATTTGTGACAGTCCTAGATGCCCGTTTTTAAGTGCCTGGTTTGGGAAGCACCAGCTCTTAGAGCTGCTGCAGGCTTGGGGCAGGGCTCGAGGCAGAACATCACTGCCCCGTGCCCTGGGGCCACTGATGGTTCAACAGCAGGTGGATATCTTAAAAGCTGCTTAGGTTTGGAGATTTTTTTCTCTCCACCTCTGAAAATTCCTTAATCCAGTATTTGCAAGAGCAGGTAATAACATCTTCAACCAGGGTGTCTGTAAAAACAAGCAGTAAAATACAGCACTCTAGGGCAGGAATTTCTCTGCTGCAGCTTGCCCTGCCAGCAGCAACCCTTCAGCACTGACCACAGCAAGGCTGGGACAGGGCTGGAACCTCTCTGCAACTGGAAAGTTCCAGCTCTGAGTTAAACTAGCCATGAGAAAACATGGGCTGAGTGAGAAAATGTGATTTGGACCACAACAGAGGCATTCAGGATGTGGAGTCAGCCACTAATCCCCATTAATATTTTCATCAACTAAACTAATTCTGGGGGCTCTGTGAAACTAGAATCCACCTCTGAAAAGGTCAGGGATCAGATATAACCTTTTACTCAGTGCTATCCCAGCTCACTCCCTGCCCAGCCCCAGAAGCTCAGCTCTTGCAGCTGTGGGCAGGCTGGGGGTGCAGGTCTGGACCCCTGTCTGGCATCTGAGGGGCACTCACCCAGGAAACACAGGACATTTTAGAGTTTTTGGTTTCAGTTGGTTTTTCCATTTTCCATTAAAACCTCCTCTGAAGAGGACATAAGGAAAATTAAGGACGATGCTAAAAGTTCATTTCCCCCTTGTGCTTTTGTGGAGTCAGAATTTCTGTTTTATATTACTTAATGAAAATAGAGGGTAATTGAGAACTGAATCATTTCTTCCTGCTTGGTTTCTCGTATGCTCCAACATATTCCCAGTTGGGGAAAACAATCAAATGCTAATTTTCTCTTACTCAGGAAAACAAAACCAAAAAAAAGTGAGAAAAATGCTTTCATTTGAAAGTATTAGCACTTAAAATTCAGCTGAAAATACTTCTCAAAGCAGAAGTAAACTCCGACAAATCAAACCACCGCTTCTTTTCTCTACTCTTTATTTTCTCCCAGTTTCCCTAGAAGCAAAGTTGGCTGTTTCACCACTTTTTTGTTTTGTTGTTTTGGCTTTTTTCAAACACAAATGCATTTAGAACAACTTTAAAGCTATTTTTCCAAAGGGTAGGTTTCTCTCTGGGGAAAAATATCATTTGCCGTTCAGCCCTAGTTATCACTGAGTAAAAACACAGCAGTAACAAAGAAACATGTCTTGAAAAAACTGATGCAGTCCCATGCTAATGGCAGTGGTTTTGCACTGCTGACAGAGGGGCATTGCCCAGCCTTGGCCTCTGGGATCCCCATAGCAAAGCAGTAGGAGACATCCCTTCAGGGGGGACAGTCTAAGGCAGGATTTTGGGTGGAAAGAACCTCCCCAGTGTCTCTAATTCTCTCCAACAAGGTTTGAAGATGCTCTTGTACCTAATCAGAAGAAGGGGTCCTTGCTTTGAGGCAAATAAAGTCAGGTGAGAGCCACCAAGAGGCAGAAAATAAGCTAAAATCACACATTTCTCACTGCCCAGCTCCACTCTTCCTTCTGCCCTTCTGTGTTTCAATGGGAAGTGCTGTCTGAGTAATCCTCATTGCCCAGTTTTTCAGTATCTCCTGCTCCCCACAGGTCCCCCATGCCCCATCCCCACACTCCTCACCTGTGCCACTCCCAACTCCCAGAACATTGATGGTCGATTTTCCAGTGCCGAGGCTGAAAGGATAAATGCACATTACTTAATCACAGTTACCACACGACTTCATGTTTTCATTCTTATGGCTTGGATGACACTCCAGCCTGGAAATTGTCATGTTTTGCACATGAATCAGGACAGAAATTTGATCATCCCTTTTGAGCCTGCTGATGACCAGCAGGGCAGGAGCCTGCCCAGACCAGCCAGCTCATATTTCAAAGTATAGTAGGCACCACGGTGTAGAGTTTCTCACCCTTTGCCAAGGAGATTTCTTCAGGCTGTGGCTGAAAAAGCCTCTGGGAACGCCAGGGCAAAGGGGCTGTACCTGACTGGGATGGCACTGCTGGGGAAGCAGGGACAAGGTGAGATGGGGAAAACCTCAGCACCCTCAGGAGGGAATATTGGATATAAATGAGCAGAAAAAGCAAAACCACTAGGCTCTCCAGGTGACTGGAAATTATCTCTTATCAACATTAACCTTGGACTGAAATTGGGAGGAGGGTCTAAATTTTCAATAATTTTTACCTTAGAAAAATTGCTGATTGAAAGTCTCCAGTCACATTCTTCCTAGCAGAATATTTAATAACAGCCACACTCTGACATGATTTATGGCCTTACTCTGCTCTCAGGCATGGACTGTGCTGAGGGATTGAGTTTCCCAAACACAGTCTCAGGAGGCACCACAGTAATGATTCGACAGAAATGGGATGAGTAGCAAGTCCTGAAGGTGTGAGCAAGTCCAGAAGCCTTAGCCCTAATGAGGGCCAAGACTCTTTGACAAACCCAAAATCAGCACCACAGAAAGCTGCAATGTTTTCCATTATTTAAATTCACAATAAAATTTCTTAATATAATCTTTAATGATTATTATTTTATTGTGTATTATATCTATCTATCTATCTATCTATCTATCTGTCTGATCTGTAGAATAAAAGTTTCCTGCCTGAGCATTTTTTCTCAGTGGAGAAAAATACAGGTCCTAGAATATCCAAAAATTACCCAGATTTGAAAGGATTTTCTTGTGCTTTGGATCTAGGCCGTCCTGAAGCTGTCTGCAGTTATCCAGCCTTAAGATATTACATCAATTCTTTACAAAACTTTCATTTGGTACTTAAGCAATGCAAATCAACTTAAGATAGAAATAAGGAGGTCTTAGGGGATTGGGAAAACCAAGAATTAGCCACTAGGAGAGAATTAGAGATGTGTTTCTGCTTGGATGGATGTGATGAAGTCCCAAAAGCAGAGAGAGCACAAGAGAGCTTTCTTTCAGAAAAAAACAAAACAAAAAGCAAAATACAAACCCCAACTTTAATCCTTGGAAAATCAGCTAATGAAAAGGACATGAGAATGAGGTCTTGAGCCTTTCCTTAACATCAGCTGAGAGGCAGCACAGTGTATTAATTGAAACAGCACATGCTCTGGAGTTATTAAACAGAATGTCCTAAAAAATTATTTTTAATCCCCTAAAAACTATTAGGGGACTTAAAACTGAAAAGCATTTAAAGTTTATTCCTTCCCAAAACAAATCCTTTTGTGTTTTCTGACTCCCAGGATCACAAATGGCTTTCCCACCTTGGGGGAAGTGCTCCTTACCCAGCCACGATGTTGGGCATTTGTTCCTTGTTGAACTCATCCATGCATTGGTGCTCTGTTGAGTGATCCAAGAAGGACTTGAAGGCCTCCACATACTCCTCAGCTGTGAGGCTTCTCATGGAAGGGATCATGTAGAGCTCTTGGGAACCAAATATGGATTTCATGTTAGAGGCTTTGAGGCATGAGAAGGGTCGAAGCAGTTACCTCATGGGAGAAACCCAACCTAACCCAACAGGAGCCAGAGATTTGGGAAAACCATGCAGAGGATGCACTTTCCAAGCTGTTCACACTCAGGCTTCAAAAATTATTCTTGGGTACCCTTTGACATCAGCAGGTTTGCTAAGTGACTTATCATTACAGGACAGCCTGAGGAAAATGTCCCCAGAATGTTTGGCCAGATGCGGAGCACTGTTTGCAAGAAGGGAAGGAACTGGGGGCGGGGGGTTTCTGGAAGACTAAAAGGGTGAAGGGAGTCACACAGTGGGTCCAAACCTGTGGCCATCACTCGTGCCCATGCGGCCAGTGTGCCCAGGAGGGGTGATGCACCACAAACTCTGCCACCTGCAGCTGAAGCAAAACCAGTCACCCCTGTGCATCTCATCTGTGACTCTGGCAGTGTGGGACTGAAATGGGCTGCCAGTGGGTGAATTCCCTGCTGGGACCTGCAGCTCATGGCCAGGAGGGCAACTGAGGGCAAAACATTTCACCTGAATGGGCTCATGTTCAAATGTGTGAGAGACTGACACCAAGATCTGTCCCTCTGAGCCAAAACCCAGGGATACTCAAGGGGTTCCAAGCAATTATTGCAAAGTCTCCCTTTCCTGCTGTTCTATCCTGAAGACAGAGCTGTTGGCAGGGCACAGGCTCTGGCCAGCTGCTCAGGGCTGAGGAGCAGGATTGAGACTTGAGGCTCATGAGAAGATGCCCTGCAGTGCTGGCTCTGTCTCAGACAATGGGCTGCAGTAGGAAGGTGCTCGTGTGCAGCCTCCACCTGCTTGAAAAGGCATCATTCAGTGGGAAAAAAATCAGCTATTCCTCTTAAATGTAATGAGGATGAAGTACAGGACTTGGCAGAATATCTTCATCCTCATTTTTGCCTTTTAGAGAGCTGCATTTTTATCACCTGTTTTTAGTCACCACTAATAAGAGAACCATGTATGTCTCATCCAGGACCCTGCAGTCTCAAATTGATTGCCTGTGCTCTTTCCAAAACCACATGTCTTTGGCAACTGTGTTCCTGGTCCAGCCCTATTGGAGGTAAAGACATCAATGTCTATCCTTAACACTTTGAACTCTACCCTAACATAAACCTGAAATCACCTGAATTGCAGTCAGTTTACCCTCCTGCTTCTTTGTCTTTGTCTTTTTTTCTTAATTTTATTTTTTTTAAACAATCTCTAACTCCAAAAGAATTAAAACATGTTTGTAGAGATAGCAATCTGAGAGGGCAGACTGCTTTAATTTCTTTTTTTCTACCAAATACCTGAATTATCGCATGGAGTTGTCAGAATCTCTGCTTCAAAGTTCATGCTGGGAAAACTATTCCTGTAAGGAAAGTATAGCACTTCAGTTATTTGAAGAACCTGTATGCTTATGAAGCTGCACTGAAAATGCAGAACAAAGGGAAGATGCTCCAGGACAAACTTTCCTCTCCTGGTAATCCATAATTTATTCTCTTCTTTTTTCCTAGAGAAAGCAAAAACTTCTTTGTAGCTGATAACAGTCACAGAATCCTAGAGTCAATAGAAGACTTTAGGTTGGAAGGGACCTCAAAACTCATCTTGTTCTAATCACCTGTCATGGGCAGGGACCTTCCACTATCCCAGGTTGCACCAAGCCCTGTCCAAGCTGGCCTTGGACATTTCCAGGGACAGGGCATCCACAGCTGGCCACTGCTCAATTTCTCTGAGATGTGTTATGGAAGATTTCATACCCCTGCAGAACCATTAATCAGTCAATGCAGCTGAAGGCATCACACTGATATTTTCCTTTTGCATTTTCCTTTGACAACATGCCTCATACATAAAACAGGGGTGAGGTGCCACTGGAAAAAGGAAGGGATGAATTTAAATCAGAGCAAGGACCTCACTTCTGCAAAGAGAGAATTGGGATGAAGCTGTCTGTGCAAAGGGAAGAGTCACCTCCTGGATAACCTCATTTCAGTTTTGAGATGCACAGCAAGTCTTAGTCTTATCCTGTATAATGTGTTTAGACACACCAAAGCTTTGCTGTTGGAAAATGCCTCAGGACAAGCAGTCTGAGATAGCAGACCCCACCCAATAGTCTCCTCTGCCAAGGAAAAAAATCCCAAGTGAAGAAAAAACAAGGCAGGAGGTGGAAAAGTAAAGCAGGGAGTTTGTAGTGGGGCTTTGAGACACAAGTATGTAATGACTGTGCTGGCCAGGCAGCAAGGAAGTGGCCACATGCAAACAATGTGCTGCTTCTATCAATGAAGGCAAGAAAGGACTGAGATGTCCCAGAAGTCTCAGAGACACTGGGGCACTTCCCGAGTCCTGCAAGAGCAGCTGATTTAATATGAGTTCAGCACCAAAGTCATGTAACTCTTGTTCATGGGGTATGCCAAAGGTCTCTCTTCCACCACCTTGACCTCACCTCTCCCCAGGAAAGACCTCTCAGCAGCTCATCAGGAAGGACCCAGAACTCAGCCCACCTCCATAATCTCCTGCTTGGCTGCAGGCCAGCCCCTCCAATTTCCACTCAACTCTGACCTCTTCCATCTCTGCCCATCAAAACAGAGGGCTGTTTTGTCCCCTCAGCTGGGTGAGCCCAGCAAAGATGCTTTTCAGAGTAAATGTCCCACTAAAATGCCGAAGGGTAGCACAGCTTCTCCTGTGCAGAGACGAACAGCTTTGGACACAAACTCCATTTCTGACAGGTCAAGTGTTTCCAGCCATGCCAGGAGACCTGGACAGACTGCAGCACAAGCATTCACCAGCACAGATGATGCCAAGATCTCTTCCACTGACATTTTTGCTATTTCTTCCCAGGCAGGGGTTAGCTTCAGACGCAGATTAACACTTACTGCTGGGAAGGTGAAACAGGAGCAAACTCTAAAATCTGGTTAAAATCCAGACCAGTTCCTAAAATTTGCACATTACGTTTTGGGCTGGTTCTGCCCACCCCAGGACCTCAATACCCAGCAGCAGACCAAGGCAGGGACTGCCAGGGAGCAGCTGGTCCTGCCACAGCTCCCAGCTAAGGCTGGGCTTGCAAGGTTAAACCATGAACAGAGATGGGTGCATTATGGACAGCAGGTGCAGGGAAGTAAATTTTTACCTCAGGTGATGCAGCCTCTTTAAACTGAGAAAGTTTTCTCTAGGAACACAAATTGCAAGAATATCTTCATAACTCATAAACTTCATTATTCCTAAACTTAGACTGTGGAGAGGTTAAAGATCTCTCCCTTAGCCCCCATCCTCCCCAGGACACGGGCACACCCGCCGCTCCTCCACCTCGCACACAGACACACCGTCCCGCTCCCTGCCAAAACCCGCGTACCTCTTCAGCTCGGGAGCCGGCTCCATGGTGGGGGTGATGCTGTGCAGGGACACGGGGCAGGGCCGATGATCCTCGCGGTCCCTGCAGCTCAGGACACGCCGTGACTGCGTGACCCGGCAGCCGGGGGTCAGCCCGTGGCCCGGGTCAGCATGTCCGTCCCCGGGCTGTGGCGGAGCTGTGGGGACAGGCAGCGTCACCGGGGCAGGCTCAGGGGAAACCCGAGCCCCGCGGGGCAGGAGCGGGGCCGGGCGGGCAGAGCCGGTCCCCACGGCCGGGGCTGCGCTGCGGGCGGGACACGGCGCGGAGAGCGGCACCTGCGACTTCCCAACCTCACTGAGCACCAGTGCCTGGGGGCTCTGAGCCGGACAGACCCGGGGCCCTTTCCGTCCCCTTTTCAATGCGCTGTGAACCTTGTCTCTCCTTCCTGCTCGCCGCCCTGGGCAGGAGGGAACGCTTTCCTGCATCCTTGGCGCGCTGCCGGATGGATTGCCCTGACGGATGGGGGATGCGCTGGGAGATCCCTGCCTTCCCCAGGGAGAAGAGGAGCTCGTTGCTCGTTGCCCGGAGACCTGAGCAAGCGATTTTTCCGTCTGTGACTCAGGGGGATACGGGGCATAGTGGCAGAACCCCTAGCGAGCACTGCAGCCCCCCTGTCCTGCCCCACGAAAGGGACGGGGGGGACGGGCAGCCAGCACGAGGGGCAGCGAGCCCAGTCCGCTCATACTCTGATAGCTAAACCGCAGGGATTGGAAAGCAAGGAAACATTTCTGGGGACAGCTATCCAGGGCAGAGGTGGCTGGAGGTCCCCAGGAAGGGATAACACAGCAGAAAGTGCAGTGGTCACTCTAAATTCAGAAAATCCTGGGTGCTGCTTGCACTTGCCTCTGGATTTTTCCCCTACTCACACCCACAGGACTGATGCTCCTCTTGCCTAAAATCTAGTAACACGAGTGTGAAAAAGAAAGGATTTAAAGGCTTTATATTCCCAAGTGAGGTCCAGTGGTGGAAAGAGCAGCATTAGGATCCTCCTCACTCCCATTCTCTGAAGACAAGGGGTAGAACAGATTGAGCAGGTGACAGAGAAAACCTCCCCTCTTGCTGAGATCCCCAGAAAACTTCCTGCCCCGCACAGATCCCCGAGACCAGGGACTTCACGTGGAGGATTCAGGATGCTTCATCAAATGACCTGCCTTGGCTTGCACTAGATTTGGCTTCCAGGTGGATTTAAGATATCCACCTGAAGGCAGGTCCGCAGCAGCACGTTAACAACTGCATTGCTATTCTTCAACAAAGCACTCAAAATAAGTGAGGAAAGACCAGAACCTCTTTGCTGGGTCAAAAGTGCACCTCTGGCTGCTGGCGCCGTGTGACCGTCTGGGCAGCGATTTTACATGAGTCAATCCAATCCCTCAGCAGTCCCCCCTCAGATGCCATCCCCCAGACACCATCCCTGCTCCGGGGCTGTCCCAGCCGAGCCCCCTCAGCAGCCTCTGTCCCCCGGCCGCCTCTGCCTTGTCCCCACTAAGCCTCCCCTCAGCCCCGCTGCCGCAGGCAGGGCCGGACACCCCTCAGGAAAGCCGTACCTCCCCGGAGCCGTCCAGAGATGGCCAGGAGCAGCCAGGAGCTGCAAGCCCTCGGGAAGCTGCTCGTACATCGGCGGGGCTGCCCCTCGCGTGTGGCTGCGCCCCCCCGGCCCGGAGCCGCCCTGAGCCGGCATTAGCTCCCAGAGCCGCCTTTGTCCGGCCGCGAACAAGGGGACATTGTGGGCAGCTGCCCGAGCCGGCAGGGGCTGGCAGCGGGCTGCCTTGGCAGGATGGACCCTCTGCCAGCCCTGGTTGCGTTTGTTCTGGCGAGCTCGTGACTAAATCCGCTCTGAACCCTGTTTTCCGTACAAACTGAAAAAGCAGATTTTCGATCGGTGAGATGATGGCTAAAGCCAGCGCTGGGCTGCGAGGAGAGGAAAACAAAGCGGGTGTTTTTCCCCCCCGCTCTCTGCGGCTCCGGAGGTCAGTTTTGGGCTGATCCTGCAGAAATAGGTCATTCAACTCTCCCCGGGGCAAGCCTGTCTGAGGCTGGCATTGCCCGTGGCTCTGAGCCCCTCTCAATGTTCCATCTCCATCAGCCCACCACAACAAGCTTGGACCTGCATCTCCAGGCAGGAAAGCCTGGAGACATCAAATTGACATCAAATTCGACATCAAAATTGACACCAAATTTCAATGAATTTACCTTCTAAACAGCAACCTGCTTTTAGGCTGAAGGCCTCTGGCATTTTTAGGGTGTTGATGGCAGAAGGTTTGGGACTAAATGCTTTTTAAGGCCCCTTCCAACCCAAACCAGTGTATGATTCCGTGTTTACTACTTTGTTTTTTGAGACTTCCAAATCCACCTAGAACAATTGATTAAAGCTCAGGTAATGTAATTCTGATTTTTCTTGTGAGCAAAGTTTTCTTGTGAGCAAAACTAAAACAGTTTCCTGTTTTAATGAAAATGTTTTCATCAGTTAGATATTTTCAGTTTTCTAGACTAATTTTCTCAAGCACAGCAGTTTCTGTACTCTCCTAGGTGAAATATTCTATGCAAACATGTTATTCTCCATGAAGCAAATTCTGGTAGAGAGAGGGAAAACCAGCAATTCTGTAGCACCCATTTTCCTGATAGTTAACAACAAGATTTCTCATTAAAGGAAGAAATTTTGTTTTTGTTTAATCCTTTAATCCTGGGCAGCAGTAGATTTTGGAGTTTGAGCAACAGTATTTTTTTAAAATGTGTATATAGGATATTCTCCTATGGGAAAAAGAACATAATTTCTGATAAGTACTGAAAAAAAAGGCACTGCAGAAGCAGAACTCATCCCTCCCTGGGGGCAGCAGCCCTCACTGCTGCTGGGTTCCAGACATGTTTCTGTTCAGCCTCCCAAAAAACCTGAAGTATCTATGTCTTGGAGATTTTTTTTTTATTATTATTTTTAAAACACTGCCTTTTCTGCCTCGTTATTGAAGCCTGGATCCTGGTACAGCTCTTCCAGACCTTTTAAAATGACCCTTTCCAACCCATTTGACTAGAGGTCATAACTCATGTAGTTGTAATTATAGAGCCAAGGTAAGGGCAGAGGGAAAGTCCGATGTGGCTGCCTGCAAAAAAGGCTCTTTGACTCAAGGTGAAGACCAGCTTTGCTCTACAACCCATCCAGTATTCAAAAAAGGATGTCTCTGAGTGCAAAGGCAGATATGGTAAAATGTGCCTTTTATCCCTCAAAAACTCACATGTCTTCAGCCAGGAAAACACACTGGGAATCTCAATTTCTCTGGCTGTACCTGTGCTGCTGCCAGTAGTGTGAGAGTCCAACATCATCAGGATTAAACATCCATCAGGAAGAGCACTACAAAACAGGGGTATTTGCAAATCCTGCTGTACCAAAACATGAAGAATTGCCAGCAAAAGAGATTCTGTCCCTAGCTCGAAGTTAGCAGTGCAAAGAGTAAAGCTATGGAGACTGGACCCTGAGAGCTTTTTGTGGTTCAAGAGGATGAATTGAGTGGGACAGGAAATGAAGGATAAGAATTTAAATTATTTTTACTTATCTGCTCTTAAAGCAAGGCTGAGCCCAGCCATCACACCACATCTGAACAGAAGGGATCTGAAGTATCCCAGGAAAAGCCACTCTGCCAGGCAAAAATATGTTACAAAATTGGAATATCTCTCGGAATGTACGTAGGATGATGAGTCACATTTCCGTGGGTAGGCAGAGAGAAGGAGCAGTGGAAGGGTGGCCATGAGCCCAGTGGGGGATGCTCACCTCTCACAGGCTTTGGCTGCTCTTCTGTGAATCTTTCTGGTTGGTCTCACTCTTAAAAAGAGTAACCTCAGCTAAATTAACTCTTTGAAAGCTGGGTCAAAGCTTCTTTTCCATTTGGCGTGAAGTTCTGCCATCTCTCAAACCCTGAGGAGTACTTACAAAAATAGATTAAATCCAGCAGCTTTGGCAAATCCAGTTTAGCAATGTGCATATCTGTCATCGAGCAGATTGCAGGAACAGGGGAGGGCATGTCCAAACCCAGGCACTACAGATTTATTTTACCAAAAGCCACTAGATGGGGATGCAATGACACTTTTCTGCTCTCGGTTATGCTTTGGTCCCATCACGTTGAGCTCGAGCTGGCCTTTCCCACTCACAGGGGCTGCTGTTGTCTTTCCTTTTTCTCTTTAGGAGCTGACAGAGGTCATTTAGAAACTTATCACTCGCTGAGATCTCATCCTGTAGGGATCAGGCCTCAGGCAGCAGTTACAGTGCAATTGCTTCTTGCTGAATATTATTCTCTGCACCAAGACTTAGGAAGAGTAAAGGGTTTGCCTTTTAGTTTGTGGATTAGTCTTCTTTTATAGGATGTGGAAAGAAAAGGTACTTGAGATTGAACACAGAGAGGAAAAATGGTATTCAGCCAGCTGGTAATCTCTGAAAATGTCCATACTTTGGAGCAGTTACTGCGGGAAAAAGCCAGGAGATTTCCTCAGGCTCAGTAGTCAAATCTCTGAGTAATTTTTTGTGTTAGTTTCTCCTCTTTTGAAATCCACAATTGTCCTAAGAATCAGCAAGATAAAGTCTGGAGAATTGGTTTGGCAGAGGTGTAGGCAGGATCAGCCCTCCTCTCCAGGGCAGCAGCACTCCACAGAGCTGCCCCAGGAGCACATTTAGGCTGCAGGAGTCTGTGCAATGCATCAGAAATGCTGTGGGAGTGAGGAGGGCTCCAGTCCTACAGTAATTGTCAGCTCTGACCTCCAGTAACCTTGGCCTTCTGCACTGAGCACCCACTCTTATTTTATCTCAAGTATCAGGATATTCGGTGCTTATATTAATTCCCAGCTCCTGAATTCAGGTGAAATGTGAAAAAATACAACTCTTCTAGCAAATATTTAACAGCAAAATTCCGGCTTTGGGAGTATGCTGAGGTACCCAAAATGCACTCTAGGCTTCAAAACACAGAAAATGCTTTGAAAGAAACCCAAAAATTGATAAATTTCAGGGCAATTTCATGAATGCTTTCAGTGGTTGGCAGGGAGGGAGAGTGGGTGTCAGGG